GAGAGAGAGAGAGGGGTCCGTCGATTCTCCGCCAATTCGATAAACCCTGTGACCGCGGATCCGCGTCGCGGGAATGAACACTTGTGGCCTTGCACGTTCAGTTCATCCGACACGCAACCGACACGGATCCTTAGCATACACGATGTTCGCGATCATCCGGAATTATTCTCGGATCAAGGCCAAAACCTGCCAGACCTTATATAGACGCATCCTTCGAATCAAGCTTGGAAAAGAGAAGAAAAATTTTCTTCTTTTCGGAGGGATCGAGAGAAAAAGGGATACGTGTTCGTATCACGGAGATCGAGGATCAGAGGAGAAAGGATGCGCTGGCGTTTCATTGTGATATAAATAATTTTTAAACGAGCGAAACATATTTGCCGAATGCTGTGGTTAGCTGTGAAGCGTAACGATGTTTGTATTTCCGTTTTCGGTTTTCTCTTTTATTTCTTTCTGTTTCAGACGAGACCGAACGTGAGAATGTGAGACAGAGAGGAAGAAAGAATGCGCGCGCGCGTGTGTGTGTATGAGAGAGAGAGAGAGAGAGAGAGACGATATAAAGAAAAAAAAAGAGTATTATATATATATGATATATATGATGTATCATATATATGATATGATATATATGATAACGTTATTACGACGAACAACGTAAACTTTAACTCAAATGATAATTCTTCTCGATAGGCTGACCGCGTGCAAGGGAGAAAAAGTTATTGAGTGTGCAAGAGCGTGAAAGAGAGAGTTCTTTTTTTTTCTTTTTTTTTTTCTCATCTTAATTTCGGATACAATTAGAGGCGAAATTTATTTGTTATTCGATTTCGAAAACTATTCGAAACTATTATTACTATTACTATTACAATTACGATAACTACTATTACTTATTATTATCTTTGCACTAAAAACAAAATGACGAAAAAGAAAAATGATGAAAAATCGTAGTACAGTAAGTTTTGAAACAAAGAAACGAGCAGAAACAAAGGGAGAGGGGGGGGAAGGGGGGGGAGAATGAAAGGAAGGAAGGAAGGAAGGAAGGAAGGAAGGAAGGAAGAAAGTAACGAAGATAAAGCAAGACAAAGAAGGTATAACGAAAACCACGAATGCTTTGTATATGCAAATTATTATATATTATATATGTGATATATATAATATATATTAAATATATAAACTCGTGTACACGGTTTATTGGGTACCGAAGACAGAATCGGATACCGTTACGTGCAATACTCGTGTACGTAAAGTATAAACACACACACATACACACACGCGCATACACATAGGTCCTATATAAACCGAAGTCTAAGATTTTGTAAAACGAAATAAAATCGCGTGTCGTTTCATTTTTCGGGGACACGCATCTTCGACGCATATTAGACAGTTCGTTTAATTTAGGAGAAAAAGAAAAAAAGAAAAAAAGATATATATATATAAAAATATATTATATATATATATATATATACATAGAGGGCGAGTAGGCATCGTATTGCCTCTCCCCTCGCATCGACCACAGCGTTTCTTCTAACGATAATTTCGTTTCGGATGCCTCGTGGTCGGTCCGCTCCGTTCTTTGTTCGAATCATCGATTTATTATGATTCCAGCGCGTAGAAAATTCGCCGCGCAGAGAATAGGAGGTTAAAATCACGTGATACTCACACAGATAAATATCTTTACTTCGAAGCGCGTAACGACGAATGCTTACCGACGAGAAAGATTTATTATAGGTTTCTTTAGCCCCGTCGAGATAAACCCGGTGTGAGGCAAACTCTTCGTAGGATGAATTTTTTATTATATATATATACACACACACACACACACACACACATACATACGCATACACACGCATATGCGCATATATGCATACGTGAATCGCATTAACAAAATGTGAAACATATTATACAAACATGGAAACATAACGTACATGTTACACATATATTTTTTTCTATCGTTCAATGTCCAAACCTGTTTAGAGGTTAACTCGGAACGACGATCGAAAGAAAAGAGCGTATTACGAGAGATCGTTTAGCTTCTTTGTGACGGATCGCTGCTAGCATCCTTTAATTATCGATTCTCTTATCGTTTTATATAATTGCTATTATTATTATTATTATGGTTATTATTATGATTATGATTATGATTATTATTATTATTATTATTATTATTATTATTATTATTATTATTATTATTATTATTATTATTATTATTATTATTATTATCATTATTATTAACTATTATTCGTTTTTCCTTCGCGACTAGTTTT